TTGACTGAAGATACTGAAGGTTTCATGCTTTGTGGAACGTTGTTTCAGTGGGGAATAGAGGTACTAAACCCCATACAAAACCATAGTTTTTTGGGAGAGATACCTACATAGCCCTTACCCTCTGGTAATTTAACATAGCTATTGAAAATGACCATAGAAATAGTGGATTTTCCCATTAAAAATGGTGATTTTCAATAGCTATGTTAAATTACCAGAGGGTAGGTAGCCCTTACATAGCCCTTAAACTGGTCATTGATTGCTCAACAGTTGCGCCTTGGTGATGTCCAGCTGAGCCGAGGCTTACACTGGCGAACAGGACGGGTGATCAGCAGGATATGGCTCGTCCTCTCGAGCCATACACGGCCATTCCACTTTTCTTAGGTGTATAGTGTATGTATGTCTACACATATATTTATATATATATATATACACATACAGTATATCTTTCATATATGTAAATACATGACATATTTGCATAGTTTTTGCCTCTTGCACAGAGGTGCTGTAGGGTCCTGTTTGGGGCGCAAACCATGTGTGGTACAACCAAGCTGCCAAGTTCTCTGGAGAACTCTGAGTTTCCCGTAGCTTTCCGTGTTCATCATATGTTATAGCATTGATGCTCTTTAGAAGGATCCTAAAGACCAGACCTTCATCCATTGGATGATTTCGATCCATCCCCATGTTACTTGAGTGGCTGCTAAAGCCTGGTTGATGATTAGTTGGGGGTTGATACTCGTCTGAACCATGCAGTATGGAATGAGTTGGATTCCAGCCAGGAAAGGTAGATGGGATCATTTGAGATGTGTGCAAATTCCGGATGTTTGCCCGATGTTGGCCTTGGATCCTTCTGCACAGCTGTCCATGGCGGCTGGTGATTCTTGGACTTAGAGCTAGCATTTGGTGGTTTCAAGGCTTTTGAGGATTTCCATCGCTGGAATGATGATCCTAAATTGAATATGTTTTTTTTTGATTCTTTCTAGGACTGTAGGATGGGTTGAAATAATCAGTCCTTTGCGCTTGTTGCAGTCACTCACGACCGTCGTCTTTTTTCATGCTTCTCAAACAGATGTGTGTCACTGGGGCAAATTTCCGAGGAGTTTGTCGAGGTCTACAAACATCAAGCCTGAAACCCAGTTTTTGAGTGTGAATAGACCACCAATTTGAAGAGCTTCGAGCGAACGATGTCAAACTTGCGGTCAGTACCTCCTGGTTGGGTCAGACCCATATACATATACATATATAATATAATATAATATAATATAATATAATACAATATAATACAATATAATACAATACAATGTATGATGTGATATGATATAGTATAATATAACAAAAATCATATATCATATAATATATAGTGTTTATATATATATATATATACATAAATGATAAAGAATACTATAATAATATAATATAATATAATGTAATACAATGTAATATAATGTAGTATATATAAATATAATATATGATATGATATAAAAGGTACACACACATATATATATATATACATGTCAATATATATATATATATACATATCTAATATAATATAACATACTACAATATACTAATATATAATATAATATAATATAATAGAATATAATACAATATAATATAATATAATATACTACAATATAATATTATGATATATTATTTATAATATAATATAATGTAATGTAATGTATCCTAATGTTATTTTATCCAATCATTTAAGACACTATACTACAATATTAAATAAAATCATGTAAGATTATACTGTAAAATAGAATAATATAATACTATGATATAATATAACATAATATGATATTATGCTTTAATAATATGATATAATATGACATAATATAATATAATATTATAACATGATATAATACAAGATTATATTATCATCTAATATAATAGAATAGAATATAATAAAAAATAGAATAATATAATATAATATACTGTAATATGATACTATAAAATGAAATATAATATAGTATAATATAATATAATGTAATATAATATAATATAATATAATATGATATCTAATATAATCTATAATATAATATAGATTATAATATGTAATGTAATACATAATATAATATATAATGCAATATATAACAATTATATATATTTAGCAATATAATATATATATATACATACATAACAATAATATATATATATATAACAATAACATATGATATAATATAAATGTATACATATATCCATATTACAATACTATATATATATACATAACAATAATGTATATGCATATATGTATATATATGCATATACATAAATATATATATATACACATGCATATATATATATATATATATGTACATGGGTGTGTCCAAACATAGGACACACCCCCAAATCATCATTCTTCCTATCAGCAAGGCGGCTGTTTTAAGATACAACGATGTCCAACAGGAAGTGGATCTGAGGAAGCTGCTTGGGATGCTATGGCCACCTGCTTCTTCCTGGATACAGCGAAGAATGTGTTGCTCAGAGAGCATTCCGATGTGGGGGACATGACGAGGGTTACTTATTGGAGTCATAAACTCAGCTGTAGCTAGTGGCCCACGTTCCTATTCTTGTTGCACAATCGGTGGAGAGTAAACATGTCATTGGTTATCACCGAGATCTCTGGATTCCACAATTTTGGTGGCCAGGTTTCTCTATATTCGAACCATCGCACACATTGTGCGAAGAGATGGCTTTTGGACCAACATCGGGCCTCTGCTTTACCACTATGCGGATGTCCCTTGGTTGCAGCCCCAGGCCCATCCGAACCATCGTTCGCTTGTTTGTTTCCGTTCAGGTGCCAAATGAAATGTCCATAGAGCTCAGCTGGGAAGAAGTGCGGCCCTACATCTGTAAGTATTTCGACATTCTGGAGGAGGAGTCGAGAGTGGCCAGATACACTGGCAATGCTGAAGGATTAAGCAGCAATCGCTACAACTGCATCTTCTTTGTGGCGAGACTCGGCCATGCCGGGATTTTTTGTTGCAGCGGATTTCAGCCAAAACTTCAGGTGCTATAGAAAACCTGCCGAAAGGAAAGGAAGAAGCTGATACAGCTGATACATTTTATACATTTTTATACCATGAATCCAATGATCAGCCAATGATCAGCCGATCAAAGCACTGAGGAAGCGCAATGGCAAGCCGGCAGAGGGACATTCAAATCCGGTCTTCTGAGAGAAGATTTAGCTCGATGCTCGGCGACCCGATCAAAAGCCCAGAAAATCTGCGTGCAAAAGATGCAGTGCATTGCGAAAGGTGAAGGAAGACATTGAAACAAGAAGAAGTCTTCTTCAACCATATCAGTTTCAACCATACCAGGAAAAAGACTGAAGGTTTCTTCAAGAAGATTCCCCCGAAGGATGTTTTTCTCACAAACCATGTTACATATGTGTATGTATATTAATTTCCTGTTGAGGAAAATTGCTCACCTGCTGTGCTTCTGGTCCAAGAGTTAATGGCATTTTCACTCAACCTGAAATCAATGACAATATAACATACACACACACACACACTGGTATCCCAGTCACCTTCAGATGAAGGATCAGGGTCGCAAATTGAGCTGTAAAAATGACAGGCTTCAGCAGTTCCTCTGTTTGCTTGTTCTTCTGCTTGATACTTAGTTCCTTGAAAAACGTTACTGCACTTCATGAAAAAGATTGCGGTGAGACCAAGTAAGGTCCAACACCCGGAAGTACACACTGCATGTGCTGACCTGTATTCCTAAATCGCCTTCGATGTCAGGGACACGAACAAGTGCAGCTGACCTGATTACCTTAACACCCTGACTGCAACAGCTTGATTCACAGTTTCAAATGAGCAGGTACGCCAGAAAGGCGTCCCTTTCTGATGTCGCAGATCAAAGCAAGCGTCTTTGTTAGTGCTAGACTTGGAATGATCCCTGGCACCCCCTGCATGCTCGAAAATTGAAAACATCCTCACTAAATTCGCTGCGTGGGAACACCGGAAGTATCACTGAAGTCGTCATCTTTCGGACTTCTCCACGGGAAACACAACGCGCAAAATCGTACGCTTCTCCGCGCTCATCCTCTTCCTGACTTCACCACCCCATGATCTACATCACACGTATACATGCTGAACGCGCAGATATGATTGAAAACTGAGCCAATTTCTTGGAATACGCGGCATTGAAATGCAAACCTCCATGGGCAGAACATGTTTCTCTGAGAACATCATTATCTTTGATACCTTCGCAGTATTCTTTGCTGATTGCCGTCGTCAAATTCTATTGTCTGTTAATCGCATGCTGTATGGTAGTTGGAAAACGCCAGCCGGAATACGGAAAGGAAGGAAATTGGCGCTTGCGAAGGCCTTAGAGCACAGGAGTTGACACACACACACACAATCATGGAACCTTACTTCTGTTTGATCTTGACATGTTGTGGAAAACCATTTCTTTTGCATATATGTGATGTGTGCAATTTTTAGAATTTGATTCAATGTAAATATATACATATACATTGTATAATCACTATAATATACCACAATATCAAAAAATACACCAAACAAATCAGGATGAACTGTAGAAAATGTACACAGAACTTGTGTGCATCCTAGTGCATCAACGGCATTTTGATCGTGCCAGAGCTTTAGCAGTGCTGGGTTAAGCAATGTGGCAGCTTGTGCTGTTGAGCATAGCTGAAGGCCTGGGGGATTCCATTTTTGTGAGGTGAACGACGCTTTTTGGAAGCTTCGACTTGCGACTTGCAGGTCATTCAAACTTCTTGGTTCATCAGGGCAGCAGGCTGGCATCATGATATATATGACATCGAACTGGTTTCATGGCTGCGATTTTGTTGATCTTTGGCGCATGGTTTTGGCCTTTCAATGATCGCTACAGCGTACCTGTTGGGAAGGCAAGTCATCTCGCTGGATCCTGCGCCAGCGAGATATCATGAACAGTCTCAGGAGTGGCCCAGGTTTCCGCCGGATTAACACTGCCTGGTAGGTGAATTTGGGGGGTTCCCTGCTGATGCCATTGGCTGTTGCAATGGTACTAGTGATGAACAGCCTGGGGGTTTCAAGAATCGGGTTGATGTTGCGAGACATGACCAATCCAGTTGTTTTGGTCCAATTTTTTTTGACAAGAGGACCATTTCGATGCTGCCAACAACAATACATGGCTGCAGGTGCGGCCCCGTGCCCCCGTGCGAGGGATCCCAGAACCAATCTGGGGAAATTGAAAAAAAATCGGCCCCGACTCACAAGAAGAGTTTGACTGAAAGGACTTTTGGTAAATAAACAAACACACACACATATATATATATATATCTATTTACACATACAATTGTATACTTAGATATATATACTTAGAATATTCAAATGGTTGCAGACCCCCATCCAACTTACCAAGGTTTTTGGAATGATGTTCCACCGTTCCCGGAAATTTCCGCCAGGCCTATTATGTCAACGAAAGCTTCTGGAAGCCGGGAAGCGATGCACCCATATTTCTTTGTGTCGGGGGTGAAGGCCGGGTGATCCATCATGGGGGATTTGACCAGAGCCAAGGCAGCAAAGACGTGTACTCTTCAACTTCCCCAGTTTTTGGCACTTTGAAACGCATCACTAAGATTTCATGAAATGACACTCGGAATTGGTGCACTCCAGGATTCTGAGAGGATACCGATTGCGACATGAAGTTTAAAACAGCATCACCTAGACCCAAGGATTCTGGGTTCCTTTGGTTGCCGATTTCTTTACAACCCCCTCCCTTGAGACCAGCTTGGAGGTCCTGCACTGGATGCCTCTGCGGTGCAGCAGTCTGTCCACTGTAACATTGCAGTTGAGTGGCTGCAGGAAACAAAGGCTTGGACCAAGACTAGCCGCGTGGGGGTTTCCATAGTCATGGGGCTAACCCCAATAGCTGGATGGTTTATGATGGAAAATTCCAGCAAAAATGGATGATTTAGGGGCACCCCTATTTTAGGAAACCTCTACATGGAACCCTGTTGATGTTGACAAACATATCGGATCTTCTGGGCTTTAAATTGGGGCTCGTGCACTCTGCTAGGCCTTGATGTTTGCATTGGAGCATCGTTACTATGGCTGCACCGAACTGAGACTCCAAGCGGCTTGAGCGGCTTGGAGATAAGAAACACATGACACTGATGACAGATTGATGACAGCATGGAGTTTCTGAGGTCATAACATGTCAGCTTGTCCTGTGAAGGATTTCAGTCGTGCTCCTCTCAGTGCGGGGCACTTACGGCATGAGAGAATCTCCACAATATATATATATGTATGTGTATGTGTATGTGTATGTGTATATGTATATGTATATGTATATGTATATATCTATATATCTCTATATCTCTATATATATATATGTATGCGGTCAAAAATCCCTAGTAAGGAAAAGTAAATCAAGTTGCGGAAGGAATTCTAGACAATAGGTTTTTAGTCTTCCTTATGTAGCGGGCCCCCTACTAAACACGGCACTTCTGCAGCTTGGCGTTAGGTTCGCATTAGCAGTGCGCTAGCATTTTCTGGTTTTAACATCCCAGGAAGTAGTTCACTTGTACCTTAATGCTTGGCATTGGAAGGAAATTTATTCGTAGTGTTAGTAGTGAGATGATGTGATCGTGTGCTGTTCGCCAAAAGTATCCGGAATGCTTTGCATTGGTGCGGACGTTTTGAGTTTTGCAAAGTTCACTCAACAATATATATATATATTATATATATCTACATCTATATCTCTATAGATCTATATATTCAATAGGAACGTCGTCTGGTCGCTGGTTCCCCGGGATCATTTCATCCGGCGGCGCAGGGCCAGATGCCTTGAGTTTCCTGACCTCGCGACAGGCCGGCATTGCTCCGGGGAATCTCGCAGATTTCATATTCATATATATATAATATAATATAATGTAATGTAATGTAATATAATATAGGTATATATACCTATATATATATATTATAGTAATAGGTATATATATATATTATAGTAATAGGTATATATATATTATAGTAATAGATATATTATATATATATTATAGGTAATTATATATATATATACACCAGATGGATCAACTTTGTTTCAAAAAATATTGATCCATCTGGTACTTTCAGATTGAAGCGGAGTACACAAACATTGGCAAATCAGATTTGGCACGATTTAGCCAACCTTCAACCACCTTCAACCACTTTCCCATTTTGCCCCTCTTTCCTCACATCTTCGAACTATGCAACAATTCCACTCTTTTCCAGGCGGTAGAAGACATTGCGTCCTTTGTGAAGGCCATGAATGCGAAGTATTCTTTGAAGAGGATCGGAGCAGGGCCAGTGATGACCAGCATCCATTCCTTCCTTGTCGAACTTCGACAAACATCCGCCTGGACATTGAAAAAAAGAACCGACCTGGAATCGATGGTGACTTGAACCTGGATTTTGAAAGCGTGACTTGAACAAACGCAGGTGGGTATGGATCAATACCTATTAATACCATTTTTAGTGGGTTATTCACATCCATTTTAACCCAGCTATTTTGATGTGAACTACAGGGGTACAAGGTTTTGACACACTGCCAGGTGATAACATGACTAACCCATGACTAACTGGGTGATATCAGTTGCTCATCTACTCGCTGGGATCATTTTTGATCCCAAGTCATGGCAGGAATTTGTGGGTCACTTGGGGTGGCAGCTACCCGGGGATGCTCGCTGGCTGGTGCGGGGCCCATCGTTGAATCCTGATGGCTAGAAAAATGGGAACTACTACTTACTAAATGATGGGATAATATACTTATATATACTTATATATACTTATATCCCATCATTTAGGGAACTACTACTTACTATTTACTCAATACTTATATATACTTATATATATTTCTCCAGCGATAATATTGATACATATTACGATAATATCATAAAATGATGGGATGGGATGCGGTTGCGTTTCACGGTTGGTGTGGACAGCGTGGCACAGCTTTTGGGTGAGTTTTTTGCTTCACAAGTCAGCGCTTTGTCCATTTCCCGCTGCAGGTGTGTTAAGGGTATAGCTCAAAACACTGAAAATCGCAGGTGTCCTGAAATCACCCGTCAAAACTGCCACAGGTTGTTGAGAAAAGAAACGCATCGCCCCGGTTCCCACCATTTGGAATGTAACCTTTGGACCCAGGTCCAGATTGAAACATCCTGAACTCATCCATGCTGCTGTGGCTTCCTCGGCCCCAGTCTTTGCCACATTTGACATGCCTGGAAACCCGGAAAGCGCCCGGAAAGCCGCTGTTAAGTGATGCAGATGGGTGGCTTTTTGTGTTTCTGAAAATTATTGAGGGTGTTGGATGCACATTCAGTGGGAAAATGTGGGAAATCTGACCAATCGGCTGCCCGGCGCCGAAAAAAAGTACAGGCCCCAGTACTGCGATCACATGTCCTTCGCCTACACGGTCTCTCATTCTGGAGTTGGTGGAAGCGAAGCGTGCAGGCCCTCGGGACTTAAAAAATATCGGGACTTTGAGACCTGAAAGTTTGAGGGGATGACTCGAGACTGTTCGAGACACGGTGAAAAAAAATGATACATTTTGAAATGAGAGGAAGGGAAACACGGACAATTTCAGAAACCTGGATGAAGGGTTTGTCTAAGTTGTTGATTTTTGGGTGCCCAGAAGCTCCCAAGCTTTGTCAAAGCCAGGGACGCCATCGGCACAGGGCATGCCTGGATTCAGGAGCTTGTCACAGCTGGTCTGCCGTGTGACTTCCCCAGAATCTTTGGGGGAAAGAATGCAGTCTCAAGATGTGGGACTTATATGGAGGTTTCCATAAATGGGGGATCCCCTTAAAATGGATGGTATATAGATATTACCGTTAAATCCGTTAAAAATTGGATGATTTATATGGTCTTAAAATATCTTATATCATGATATCTTATGATATCAATCGAATCAAGTGTGACATCGCCTTTTTGGACCCCATTCCGTTCCGTTGCGATGGTCCAACTTTGGGTCCCCTCGGGGAATCCACACGATGCGCACGATGCGCTTTCCGCGCACGCGCACGCAGATGGCAGGGGCGACTTTCTTCGATCCTCCGATTGAAGACGTGAAAGACGTGAAATTCCAAATTCGAGTGCGCTGAAATCGGTTTTCCCGAGTTGCTAGGTTTTCCAGTGACACTGACTAGTGATGTGCCGATGCACTGTGTGTTCTTCAGCTGTTTCGGCTCCCGTGGCACCGTGGCGAAGCACGCGCCCAGTTTTGGCCCGGCCTGCCGCGCTGTCGGGACCGAGGAATCGACACTGTTGCTGGTGAGTTAGGGCTGTTAGGGGATGATATATGGGATGATATTAGTAAATGATGTATTGGCAGTATTGGATTATGATGGATTATTTGATATTATCATACATTCATTATTATTTGATATTTGATTAAAACCTGGTTGGCAGTCACTTGTTGGCACTCTCTCTCTCCCCAAAACACTTGGATGACTCTCTCAAAACTGTGTGTGTTGCGACGCATCTTCCACCGATCCAAAGATTGAGACAAGTCATTATCATAGCACGGCTATAGAATATCTATAATTTTAACATCATATCATGATGTATCCTGTATACATATATAAGATAAAAAACCTGTGATTCTATATCATAAATAGTAAATGCTGTGTGATTTTGCTATAGCATTATATGATTTGTGACATTTTAGTACATTTTAGATCATTGTTATTGGTAGCTCAACATCGCCGTCTGCGGGTGCTTGTTCCCGAGGAGCATGGCGAGTCCCACTACCAAGGCGGCAGCGTTTGTGGCTGTGACGCTGCAACGTGCCTGCCACAATTCCTTCATTGAGCCTGGAAGCCCAAGGGGCCCAAGGGGCCCAAGGGGCCCAAGGGGCGGAGGCCAAATGGCCAAGGAAAAATGATGGAAAAGATATTGGAAAAGGATGATCAACTATATCGGATTGAGATGGATTGAGGCTTATGAGAGGTTCCACTGAGTGTGAGAGGTTTGATGGAGGGACTTACCTGCAAGCCGATTTGCGAAAAGCTTCAGTTTTCCAACGATGTAGATTGGTTGGGATGATATGCTGCTGTTCCTTCACTAAGTGTGGTTCCGAATTGTGGCGTGGTCAAGTTTCATGGTTTACTTATGTTTATTCACATAAAGATGACATAAAGGGGAGAGTCATGAATCCATTGACAGTTTTTTTTGCATTTATGTAAAACTGTATACCCATTATGTGGAACCCCATTTGTGATGGTGGCGTGACTATACATCATACCCCATTATATAATCCTATGTAGCTTGACCATGGGCATAAATCTTATCGTCCTTGGGGGCCAACGGCTAAGGTGGGCAAAAGGCGACAACGAACACGCCAAGTACACAGTTTCCAGTGTGATCTTTGTTGCGCAAGTAGTACACCTGGCGTTGTGTTGGCGTCAAACTTCCCGGATTTGGGAAATAAAAAGGTCACCAGGTTCCAGCGGCGTCACCGCCAGGTTTGCGTTTTCGTTGGCTGGGCTCTTGCGTACAGCTCTGGTGGTTCTGCCGACTTGAAAAAAAGCTTCGAGGTGCTGACACGGTCCAGGGAGATTCCGACTCAGTGTGTCGCCGAGTTATGCTTGTTAGTTTATTAATGTTTATTATATCCATTACCCAGCTATATAACATTATATAACTATATTTATTTCATATAATACCCATCAACCTTATAACATGTTACTAGTACAAACCAACTTAGCTATGGGCGTACCATGGCATTTGGGAGTGCTTGATGTAAGACTTACCTCCGTCTCAGAACTCGAGGGCAAATTGGCAAAGGAAGCCCGAAGGTTTGCAGTAAAACCGCTCAGTTTCCTATACAGAAATCCCAAAAAAGCCACGCATCAGAGTAGAACTTGGACGGTTTCCAGGCTGGGAATGTGAAGCGCTTCGCCCACATCGGACTGATCTATGCACTTGGCGATATCTTCGAAATGGAGTCGGTGAACTATATTGACTCCTCCACCTACACGGTCTTGTCACAGTCGAAGCTGATCATCACGGCCACTATGATCTGGTTGATGGAAGGTAAGGCCCAAAGTATGACGCAGTGGTTCATCCTGCTCTGTACCAGTTCTGGCATGCTGGAATATGTCCTGGTAGGCAAAGCCAACGGAGGCGTGCGACTGAGAGTGGGACAGCATCCAATATCAATATCAACGAATCAAAAATAACATGCCAAGACATAGCAAGATAGAAAAACTAAGCGCACTGACGTGAGCTTAGCGCAAAGGGCAGCCCCATGAAAAGCACCAGTACCTGTCGTGACCTGTCGTGACCTGTCGTGACCTGTTGTGACCTGTCAGTTAATGATGAGATATTTTTGGCCAGGTTCAATGACCTTCAGCCCTTTCGGTGTTGCCTTGGCTCTCACCAAAGTGGCGATCTCATGCTATGTGGCGGTCCTGAACTCGGCGGCGCTGCAAAAGGATAAGAATCCCTTCCCGGTGCAGTTCAGCTGCCTCAAAGTGAGCTGGGCGGCTGCTAGCTTGGTTTATATGCTCGTGAAAGATGCTCTGGTTCAGCTTATGCTTTAAAAAAAAAATCTGGGATGATGGTCACAACATGTTCCGACTACACATCTAAGGTCTTCGAAGTCTTTCTAAGTTTTGATTGAACCGCCTCAGGATGGTTTACTGGGAGATGGTGATTTGTTTGGGGAGTGGACGCACCGCACGGTGGTACTGGTCTTCTGTGGCTTCATCTTGAAGACCCTCTTCAACCAGTATTCTGGATTTGCTCCAGATGATTTTCGAGTTTCCCATTGGTTAATCTTCCATGACTGGGGAATCTACTGGTATGTATTACTACTTTGTTTTAATCTTCACTGGATCAGCAAATCCAAGGTATCTGCTCAAGGTCCTAGATGCCATTTGGAAAAACATCAGCGAAGCTGTAGGCCAGGTTCGGAAGATGAAATCCTTCGAACATGGAAGATGAAAGCCCCAGTATGCCGCAGTCCTTGGAAGTTGTAGCCGCATAGAATTCGGGATGCACTTTACATCACTTTACCATCTGCAAACCCAAAGTTGATATTCCATATTCTTGAAACATCCTCACTGGATTGGTTTAAGGGAAATCTTAACCGGAAACCATAGTTTTTACCATGAAATATGGTGGTTTCCTGTAAATTTTCGTGTAAAGCAATCCAATGACATCCGGATCACTCACCGAAATGGCAGGTGTGATCCTGGTCTACTTCGGCCGTGTGATGTTTTTGGGCGCCACCTTCAGTGGTCCTGTCTGCAACGCGGGCATCACCGTGGTACTGGCATGCGTCGCCTATGTCTTGTCGAAGGCTGAAAAGGAAAAGGCCAAGAAGAGCGAGGTCGGAGATGGTTTTTATGGATGTTTACACGATTTTCATCCATTTTTCCCTATGATGTTCATCGATTTTGCAATTTGGGTAAAAGCAAACATCAATGACACACATTTTCAAGACATTTCTTTTCTTTTAGAAACATCAATAACACCCAAGAAACATCCACAACTGTACCAGCTCAACTGAGGGTGCCCTTCAGGTGGGAGACGAGCTGAATCCTGAGATGTATCCAGACTTGACCAGCAGCCTACTCCGCCACCGGCCGCGGCCTTGACCATCGAAATTTGCTTGGAAAAAGACCATCGGAGAGTGGACATCTCCCCAGGTCCTCATGGAAATTGCCGCGGCCACTAAAACTCTTCAACCACAGACAACAGTGGTACATAATACATATATACGAATATCTATATATAATATTATATTATGATATATGTATCTATATATCTATTTATCTATCTGTATATATATATATATCTTATAGATATATAGTGGGGATATTCTGGGGAAATCTCATCACGAGCACACGTTGCGAATCGTTGGCTGCAGTGGCTGGAATGATGGGAATTAGATTAGAGTATTCCCAAAACGGCTCAACATTTGCTGGTGAATTATTTGGATTTAGCCAGATCATTGGACAATATTTCAATGGCCATTTCAGGAACCTAAATTGGAGGTACCTACCATATATAAGGCCTATATAAGGCCTATGTAAGGGAATATCCCCACAAAATATGGCCTTATATGGTACAGTACCTCCATTTTAGGATCCTGGAATTCCCATTGAATATTGACAGTTGGCTTGGTTGGCTTGGCGCGGATTATGACCGCTGGATGCACAGCTGCCCGGTCCAGTCGGCAGCCGCCAAAATCCAGTGGAAAAGAGTGGCTTAGAAGGTGCTCAGCATCACCTTCTTCGATCCCTCCTGTACAATTCAAAAATTCACCTTTCCACTAAGAATCTAAAACTGCTGTAGTTTCGGAGCCATGTAACAATCTATGTATGCTCTCAATCCATAGAAACTCATTTAATTTCATATTATAAATCCATAGAAATTCACATTGACATAAATCCATCATAAATGAAGATCCATAAATCATCCACAAAGCATGATTTAATTTGGGAAGTCTTGACCTTGCGGCGGCCTTGGGGATTTCCAGAAATCACAGGAGCGCTTCCAAAAGGGCGACTTCCAGACCGTGGTTGAGAAGTTTGGACTTCAAAATGACAGCCTGACAGCCTGGCCTCGACGAGTCGGGAGACGTGAAAACATCTTCCCGTTGGGAAGACTTAAATGGATAATGATTAGATGATATTAGATGATTAGATTATCCATTTATAATGATATTATATATTTGGATAATATATCCATCTCCTTTTTTTTGTGGATGATATAGATTCATAATTACACAGCTTTTACTAGATTTATAGATATTTATAGTCAGTTTCTCAGCAAGTGAGATAGATGAGATAGATTAGATATATTAGATAGATTAGATAGATGGATGGGTGGATGGATGGATGGACAAACAGATAGATGGAAATATGCGCACATACATTCATTAGTTTCATAGCATTGCATTACATAGCATCGCATTGCATTGCACTCCACTGCATTCCATCGCACACACGCACAGACAGACACACACACACACACATATATATATACCTATGTAGTACATACATACACGCATGAATGCACACATACATTTCCCATTTTGGGGGATTGAAGAAAACATCACCTCAAGAATGGTGTTTCAAGTCTGATTGAGCGGGAAGATGAAGTTTATTGAGGACATATTTCCCACAGCAATGTACTTCAATTTACTGCTGGGGTCCTCTTGTTCCTTCTCAAGATGCGTCCGCCCTGGGGTGGTGTCTATTTGTCCCCCACTCGCATCATGTCGAGATCTCAGCTTCGTGGCGTCCGGATCTCTGATTAACCTTCGCTTTTTGGTGTTTCTCATCATGTGTTTCCCAGTCCATTCCTTTGTTTCCCACGGGTTGGCGGTTTCAAACATTTTTTTTTTATTTTCCATCATAATTATATGGGATAATCCTTCCCATTGATTTTCACTCCATCATTTTCCAAGATGGGCACATTGCACCAACCAGCCCATCATTTGTGCAGCCCTTGGAGTTCTTCTTGGGATCATCATTCCATAGGGATTTACGTAGCCAATGTACTTCACTTCATGGTGCGATGTCTGGATGGTCTCCGATGTCGGTCAGTCCTGATATCCTCTAGTAGTTGTCTTCCATCATTCTTTAAGGTGTGCTTTGGTCACCTGTTTCTAGTTCCTTCTCTCACTTTATCATCTCCAGCAATATTTAGCCCCTTAACTGCTTCTCGATGTTATCTGGTCGGCTGATAGTTTCACAAGGCTAGGCACGTGGTCCCAGTGGTCAGTGAGGCCTGTCGTCCTTGGATAAGCGCATTGCTTTTGCATCAACAGGAGACCGGGGCGGAAAGGGTGACTACTGGTGACCACTCAGCACTTTTAAACATGGGGCGCGGGGGGTGAGATCTTGAAGATCCACAGCCAAAGCAAGGGCCATATCTTTATGTAGTATATAGTAGAGTTGAGTAGAGTATAGTATAGTAGATGTGTATAATAATGATAATACGTATATATATATATATATACATGATGCAGCCTCCCAGGTCCCCCCCCCCTCCCCCCCAATGGGTATGGGTATACAGGAGCTATGTTCCCTGCCCCCCCCTGTGGGTGGGTGGGGTAGTAGTAGTGGTAGTAGTAGTAGTAGTAGTAGCAGTAGTAGTAATTAGTAGTAGTAATTAGTAGTAGTCGTAGTGAGTAGTAGTTAGTATATAGTAGGAATGGGTATCGCCTCCCCCTGGGTGGGTAGGGGGGTGGGGGGGGTTAGTAGTAGTTAGTAGTATGTAGTAGTGAGTAGTAGTTAGTAGTAGGAATGGGTATGGATATACAGGAGCTATGTTCCCCGCCCACCCCTGTGGTGTGGTGGGGGTGTGGTATGTATGTATGTATGCATGCATCTATTACATATGTATATATATATATACATAAAGGAAGTAGATACATAGCACATGTATATATGACTATAGGTAGCACGTAGGTACTTTGAGGGAGTATGTGTGTTATATATAATAATGTATATCTCCCTCTCTCTCTATATATATAATATTAAATATATCAACACATGTAGGTTTCCTAAAATGGGGGTACCCCTAAATCATCCATTTTAATTAGACTTTCCATCATAAACCAACCATGTTGGGGTACCCCCATTTATGGAACCCCCCCCACATCTACTTGCGAGCCTGGCTGGCAAGAGTGCCAGTAGTTGATTCAAAGAGGTATGGCGCAGCCATGTGACTGCGGTACTGTTTCATTTGACCAGCAGTCTGACAATGAATCAACTGGCTTTCACTTCAAGCTCATGTTTTTTTTTTTTTATAAAACATCTAGTTTCAGTCTAAATCAGGCGGCGACATAAAACACGAAAATGGCTGGTGTTCATGTATTGATATCTGGGGTATTGTAATTATGCGGGAGGGTTTCATTACTAGTGTAACAATTTTGGACAACGTGTTGTGGAATATTTGAAGGTGCAGCATGTGTAGCTGCGCAGAGAAAAAAAAATCGCAGAGAAATGTTGAGACCTTTTCGGATGGGCAGAGCTGAGATATGGGGTTAGGATGGGTTAGGGGGATGCAGCGAACGTTGCTAAGTTTCCATCTTTCTACTCCTAAATCTGTTAGAAATTGTTTGGTCACCCTCAAAATTGTTACCCTAAATCGCGCTCCAGGTGTGGCCAATTTTCCAGCGCAGGTGTGGGGCAGCAGATGAAGCTGTGGGCATTTTCCAGTTTGGATATGGCTATTTTGATAGGGATAGTGATGATGAACCAATGGATGGAATGGGCTAGCCGCTTAGCCTGTTTTTGGACCAACCCATTCATTGGATAAAAAAAACAGACTGGTGGTTCCAAGAAAGCTGAAGATTTCTCCGGATTTTTGAACCAACCCCCATATCGATACCTGGATGATACCCCCAAAAAGATGGCATTGCACGGCTGACGGCATGTTCTGTGTGTTTCTTGTCCCTTTGTGATTTCTGGGAGAACCAACAGGGGCGTCACAGACTTTGTGTAAGAGGCAATGACCCTAATCATGCACCATACCACTTCATTACACGCACCCTTGTCATGAACATCTTCCTCGCGTAAAGCTCTTCTTTTTCGAGACTGGCACTGGAAGAATCTCCGACAGATGATTTTCCGGTTTTGAAATGCCGTCAGAGCTTCACCCCAGTTACATCGTAAGTGTGTTAGCTGCGCTTGCAGCTAAGGTTATAACTTGCAACAACCAGGTTTTTTTTTCACCAGACGCATTCGATTTCGAGTTTTTTCGTCAGGAAAATGATCCACTGTGCGAGGAAGCCGCGTGCAATATTGCCAAGGTGGGGTGTCATGGGACGGACTAAGATCTGGGAGATCCGATCCAAGCCATGCGTTCAAAGAAGCGACCAAACATCTGGTTATTTAACAGTTCGCCATAGAACATCACCATTTCTAATAGGTAAACCATCTATAAATGGGGGGATAGCAAATGAACTACAATAAACTGACAAAATGAACTAAGTCTGATTCTGCAACTACCCTTTGCCGATTCACCAAAAGTGCGATTGAGCAACCAAAAGCACCTGCGATTCAGCAACGAAAAAAGGGCGATTTGCAAACCAAAAACTCACAATGCAAAGCCAACATGCGCGATTCAAAAACCAATATGCACGATTCAGAAACCAACATGCGCCATTCAGAAACCAAAAACTGCAAGACGAATCAACCAAACAACAACAGAATTATTCAACGAATTATTCAACGAATCCCGATTGAACAAAATATCTCTTTTTTAGGGTTTGCAAAAGGGGATTGGGGATTCAATCACCAAAGCCTTCCTGTGTGCCACTCCTTTGGTTACTGCCCTGACTGTTTTGGTTGAGGAATTTCTTTGATGCCGGAGAACTGATTGACTAGATGCCAGTTAGTTTTCCCAGTGATGGGCCCCGCACAAACTCGACCTGGTAGGAGGTTTGGAGGGCTTCGCTCTCCGAAAACATCCAACTCTATAGATCTCACAATTCTCACATCAGTCGATGACAATTGCAGATATTGCAGGATGACTGTCAGATCCTCTCAGGTCTGCCAGGTAATGACCAACACTTCCCTTGGAGACGAGGAACCGCAATGGGCAATGCACCGGATTGACCTTTTACCATTGAAACACCGGGGTGATCGGAGCAGTTAGTTACAGTAGTTCAACAATTCATTCATGTTTATGCTGACGGAATTTTTACCGTCCAGCAAAACGCATAGTTTTTGATGGGGTGGGGTGGGGTGGGGTGGGGCAATAACATTCATTGGCACTTACACACATACGTGATGCTACGCCACTGCACGTTCTTCTTCAACTGCCACACATACGTGATGCTACGCCACTGCACGTTCTTCTTCAACTGCCACACATACGTGATGCTACGCCACTGCACGTTCTTCTTCAACTGCCACACATACGTGATGCTACGCTGGGGCGGGGTGGGGTGGGGTGGGGCAATAACGTTCATTGGCACTTACACACATACGTGATGCTACGCCACTGCACGTTCTTCTTCAACTGCCACACATACGTGATGCTACGCCACTGCACGTTCTTCTTCAACTGCCACACATACGTGATGCTACGCCACTGCACGTTCTTCTTCAACTGCCACACATACGTGATGCTACGCTGGGGTGGGGTGGGGTGGGGTGGGGCAATAACGTTCAGTGGCACTTACACACATACGTGATGCTACGCCACTGCACGTTCTTCTTCAACTGCCACACATACGTGATGCTACGCCACTGCACGTTCTTCTTCAACTGCCACACATACGTGATGCTACGCCACTGCACGTTCCTCTTCAACTGCGACATTCATCAAGCAACTGTCTTGATTCGACTTTGGGCCTCTTCAAGAAGAAAAAACGCTGAGAGGGTTGTCGATAGAAAAGTTAAACCCTCAAGTTCGGAGACCCCTTTTTTCAGTCAAAATTGACGTTTCGCTATGGCGAAACGATGAATTAGTAATAAATATGTGGACGGTGAAAATTCCGCCGGGTTGTTTATGATGGGCAATCACTGCAAATCATGTTATTTTCCATGAACTCTCAGGTTTGCTTGCAACATTACCGACTAAAAATATCCCTTCACCAAGATTTTGATGGGCTACCTGTACCAGCTGTAGCAGCTGTAGCGGTTACAACTAGCATTTGACTAGGGTTTATCACTGGGTCCAGCCTTAAGCTACCAAAGATACATAACATTTTTTTTTCAATTATTGGCCTAGGGTAATCGGATGGTTAAATCGAGACCTGCGTTTCCCATAATTTCCAGCCGTTCTTTGGGGTTGCTTTGCTGTAGATGGTTGGTTTGGCTTATCTATATACTTGGACGATTTAACTCGGGGTTCCTAGCTGGAAACCTCCCACATCCACATCCTAGTGATATCCAATTTGATCAAAGACCAGTGGAGCAGTGTTCGAGACGCCTTGTCATTGAACTGGTTTTCCAGTTCAAGACAATCCCCTCATATACTAGAAAGGATGTGTGACCCCAATCAGTCAGAAGTCTTGAACGCTGCTCAACTTTTCTTCTAGCGAATAAGCATGGGATACATGATACATACATATGAAATGACAGTTTGTGAAGTCACGCTTCTTTTTGTCATCCAAACTAGTGTATTGGTTTTTCTTGAAAATATAGTATAACCCCAGAAGGAGCCTCTGGCAAACCAACATAGCTGCAAATGGGCCATGGTTTCCATAGCAACTCTTCGTTTTATTCTCAATGAACCATCAGGAATTCCAGTTTCATATTCCCATTCCATTCCATATTTCTGGTGACAATCCATGTCTCAAATCTGACATTTTCTTGATATATAGATTCAAATGATGCAAATATCATCAATATCACTGATACTTACAGTAACCCCTCCATAAATGAGCGATTACATAGGGACCTATACATCTTATACTACCTCATTACATTGGGAAAGAGTTTTTAACCAACTAAAAAAAACATAGAATGGGAAAACGGGGTGATGAGGCCTCTCCACCATGCAAGGATGGGACCGGATGAAGAAATCCTGAATTCAGCCTGAATGTATCATGTTTTTATCATGTTTTTATCATGTTTTATCATGTTTTTCATGGCTCAAATGGAGCTTTCCGTTTTGTTATCCGAAGAATCATCCAGTCATCCAGTGGATCATCATTTTTTTATGGTTGACCCTATGGTTGTTCCCACTGCGGATCCCCTGACTGAAACCCTCAGTTTGGATGATGAAATCAGCAGGTGAGCCGCTTGGTGACTTTGCGGCAGCTACAGGGCATCCGAACACTCTCCCAGAAGGGTCAGGTGCAGGCGGCGTTCGCTCACCTTTTGGCCCACTTCCAAATGTCACACACCCAAAGAATTTCATTTTTTCTTGTCACCAGAGGATGAATGAAAACACTGGCTTTAAAATCAGCGATTTTGACTTTGGGTTTTCAGCATTTAGGGTTTTAATTTGGGTTTAGGCTTTTAGGCTTTTAGGTTTTGGAAAGTAAAACGCTAGCCCTACGCAGGGATTTGAGCATGTCATGCTGGATATGCTGGATCCGATGCGAGCAAACGTGGGGTTTGCAGCGTTCCCAGTTTTGAGGACTGACATATCTAGTATATACAGTATATACATAGATTATAATAGACATGTATTATACACAATATTTTACATCATACCGGGTTATTCATATTTACTGTATATATATATATGTATATCTATATATAAATACGTCTATCAATATGTGATTCAAATAGAACTCTGTGATTCACGACAGCGCCTTCGCAGATCAGGCACAGCTGCTGTCTGGTCTGCCGGGCCCATTGAGGTCCTAGCAAGAAATGGGGGTTGAACTGGTTGGAAAAACGTGGTTTAACTGGCTGAAATGGGTGAAAAAAGTGGGGATCGACAACTTCGTTTGCTGGTTTTTGTGGCAGTTAGATTCTGGTTCGAATCTAGGTTTCACTTGGTTTGTCGATGGGTTTTTATGGGGGGCTAACTAGTTAAGATTAAGATGGACGTTTCGTAGGTAAATCAACATAGGGGATTGACTGCTCAAGAAAATGAGGGTTTAGCTATTTAGCTGGTTGAAATGGGGATCTAACATGGTTTATTGACGGGTTTTTCTTGCGGTTTATCAGTTTTTTGTTTTCTTTTTAAACGTGGGTTAAAATTGAGTTCTAGCTTGGTTGAGTGGCTTTTTAGGCGGTTCAACTGGTAAAAATGGTGGTTTAACTTGATAAAATCGGGGTTGAACTGGTTGATTTTTTTTGTTTTTAAATATATTTCTTAAGCTGTCAAATTCGCTGGTAAACTTACCTGGTTGGTGGTTTGAAACATTTTTCATTTTTCCATATATTGGGAATAAAAATAATCCCAACTGACTAATATTTTTCAGAGGGGTTGAAACCACCAACCAGTAATGTTTAGCTTGGTTTGGGTTTAGCTGGTTAAGAAGGGGGTTTGATGAAAATTGGTGTTCAACTGGTTAGATAGGGGTTTCACTGGTTCAAATGGGGATTGAACTTGATTGGTTGACTTATCTCTATTGGAGATCAACTGATTAAGATTGTATTTTTCTTTGCATGGTGGTATAACTGCCTTAAACGGAGGTTTAACTTGGTTTGCTGACTGGGCTTTTAATTGGATAAGATGAGGGTGTAACTGGTGAACTTATATGATGGTATAACGGGAGAACTGGTTAAGATTGGGTTTGACATGTTAAAATACGGATTGAACTTATTTTGTTGACTTGTTTGTATTCGAGTTGAACTGGTATGGGATGGGGGTTTACCTGGGAAAATCGGGCTTTAAGTGGTTAAAATTGGGATGTAACCGGTGAGCATGTGTGGTATAGCTGATTGACCTCCACAAAATCCCACAATTTGTGGAGTCCCCGAATCGCAGGAACACCTTGACTGGCGTTTTGCCGCAAACTGGAGCGCAGCTGCCTGACTTCTGGCTTGCGGCTAAGTTTGCGCCGGTAGGTCTCCTCTGAGTCAACCGTTTGCGGCGTCTGCGGGGGTGGGGAAACGATAAAATTCATGGCCTTATTCCCGAGGTTAGGAATTCTTCGGAATCATTGGGAATGGGTCAAAACCCAAGATTGCCGTATTTGGGGGCCATGAACATCCATGAACTCTAGCTATTTTCGGGTCCACCAAGGGATTCCATGATTTCTTATACATGCTGAATAGAGGTGAAGAGGTGTAAATGTTTCCAAAAAATGTGACCCCGAACTCTCATTTTGACTAGTGCGAGTTGATCATTCGCGGCAATGGGAAAGCCATGGTGATAAGGGGTACCTCATGTTAAGAAACTACCGTTTTGAGCCAAACCGAAGCCTTTTGAACGCTTTCATGCTTGGACTTCAGTGTAACTATCGCATGAGGTTCTACCAAACCTGCAAGGAGTTTGGTTTCTACCAGACTTGCGAGGCGGCTGGAGTTTCCCGTCCGTCTTGCTGGTACCAGCCGGTGTGTCTGAAGGTGGTGGAAACAAGAAAAATGATAAATCCTATACAGATCCTAGGATTTTACCCTAGTCCCCAGTGCGAACTGGCCCTTGCAGAGGATGATGATTGCATGTTCGTGCGTGATCTTGCGAATGCCAGCTACATGGCAAGCCCATGCCGCTCGGCAAGGGTCGGGTCGGCACAAGGGAGTCTAAGAAGGACCGGCTGGCCCCATTGGATTTTGGGACATTTTCCAAAATTGTCTTTTTCTTGGTCAATTCATTCCCCTTTCAGTGATCCAGCTCAGTTGCCTTGGAAGCGCTTGGTGCCCCTTAAGAGATTATGCAACAGGCAGTTCTTGGGGAAATTGAAGGATTAGAGCAGCCTGAGGCATGAAGCTCTTCAACATCACGCTTGAGGATGCGGAGTAAGCTTGAAGCAAAATCAATCCGGGTGCTTGTGCCATTCCAATGACTTCGATAGTTGGTCTATTCGCTTTTTTTGGTTCTTGTGGTACCCAAAGTGTGTTAACATCCTGCCGTGAGGTAGCCAACGCCGTCTCAGACATCATCAGATTTGGGGATCAAAATTTTGGTATACCCTTCTGTCTAAATCAAAATAGATGGTGTTCATTTTTATGTTCATCTTACCAAAATATGAAAATGGATTGTTGAATCAGTTCAATCTATGGACATCGTTTCTCAATCTCCAGCTGGAGATCTTGGAGACTCAGCTTGATTTCCGCAGGATGTGCAGTCGAACATCGATTCCACGAATTATCATTACGGCGGGTTCTTGCCGCCGGGTGCTTGGAGATGATTTTTTGGTTGATGGTTTTGATGGATTTGGAATTCTAGACTCTAGAGATTCTAAATCTAGAGTCCTCCATGACTTAGGACACCAATTGATGATGAAGCAATGTGAATGTCGCGAGGCAAAACCCAAATTTGGGTCTTAAAATGGCGGACCCCAAAGGTTTGAATGGTTTAGCATAGAGAATTGAACACTTTGTGGCTACATTTGCACCTCTTGACTTTTCCAGTGGGCCCAGGAGCGATACCAAAGGAAATCTGGGGAGGCCTCCCGGACGCTGGCTCGGACCCCTTCAAGGTACCCTCAAAAATGGTAAAGTGCTCGCAGAGATTTTTGCCGCGATGGCTTATACAGGTGACTATGAATGGAGCATGATGTTGTCCCGTCTGTTCTATACTTGCCGGCGTCACAAAATAGAAGCATGTGGACCAGTTGCCCTACGGGTGTGGCGTTGCCTTCGCGGTGTCATGCTGACGCTGACAGCAGTCTTTGGAGGTTCAAGTCGTCCCTTAGAAGCTTTTATCTTCATCTCCTGCATCTTTACATATCTTCATCTTCATCTTCTTCGTCATCTTCTTCATCAAAATCTTCTTCATCTTCATCTTCATCTCCTTCATCTTCATCTTTATGTTCACCTCCTTGATCATCTTGATCTTCTTGATCTTCTTAGTCTCCTTAATCTTCTCTATCTCCATCTTCTCCATCTTCTCCATCTTCTCCATCTTCATCTTGATCTTCTTCATCTTCATCTTCTTCATCTTCTTCATCCTCTTCTGAATCCGACGACCAGGTGTGTGATGTTTCCCAACGGCGAGATTGATCCGTGGCAAACTTGCAGCGTGCGCTTGGTGGTTGGGGTACCTCCTAAAATGTCGGAAACAAAGGATATTATATCTGGACTATTCACCTTAATCTTTTTGTACTTCTTGATTGTCAGTCGCAATCTATCCCCTTCCATTTTGCAGTGGAATGTTAGGGTGTCTGAAAGGTCCAATGGGAAGAACATACTTAGAACTTAGAACACTCTTCGCTTTTATCTGATGGCTTTCCCATGGTTTGTCCACGGTTTTTCCATGGTTTTTCCTCCAGATTTTCCCACATTTTCCCTTGAAATATGAGTGACTCGCGGTCCATAAAAAAGCGCGCAGGTACGGCGAGCTCCTGACCCTGATCTGCCCGTCCTGATGGTGGACGGAGCGTCGCACCATGCCTGGACCTGGCCCAGCCGCAGTGAAGACCAGGACGCCCAGTGGTCGCCATGGTGGCTGCAGTCACCCCTGGCAGGGTTGATGATGAGTTGGGGGATATTCCCTCTGGTTATGACTAACATAGCCAGGGTATAGATGGCCCATATATACCATAATATCACCCAATTTTTTTGGTTGGTGATGAGTTGGGGATGTTTCATAAAAATCCTCTATATATTGATGATATTTGATGATTATAGTAGTTTAAATGGGATTTTAACCATGAACATATGGGGATATTAGATGATATGAGTATATCTGATAAATGATGGTTGGTTGATGATGAGTTGGGGGATCAAGAGCTACCCTTTATATATTGGGGATTATTTTATAATCCAAGAACGGGAAATCCCTATTAAATCTATCAACCAACCAGGATGAAATGGAATCACAGAGGGGTTTTGAACACAGCCAAAAGGCTCAAATGTTCCAGTCACGTGTGGCTGTGACAACTAAGTGAGCCCAGTCGGTCATCGTTTCCGTGCTTGGCCTTTGCCTTACCTTTGTCGCAATGGAATGGGGCGTAACACTGCATTCAGAAGGACCTTTCATAGGACTGCCACAGTATGAAGTTTCCTTGATATCATCGCAGGAAGGTAGCAGAGTTTCAGTCGTTGCCACGATTGAGGTGAGGGATTCGGCATCTGGTTGGGGGCACATGTGCCGAGGAATTCTCACAGGACAGAGATTCCGCTTACAGGCAGAAATCCCAGTTGGCGTGCACAAGGTCTCTATCTTGGGTGCCAGACTCACCCATCTACGTGGCCCAGTACTCAAAGTTGATGAAGGAGCCAAGGTGTTGTGCCATCGACCCAAAGATCTCTCTCACCTCTTCCAGCTCATCGAGACATGTTCAGGCCTTGGTGCCCTAGGAGTTGGTGCAAGCCATGCAGGCTGGAAAACAGTGGTTCACAATGACTGTATGGAACCTTTCTGTGAACACCTTCGAGTTAACAGCAAGGTTCCCACAGTACATGGAGACATATGCAAATTGGCCACTGTGGCCCAGATCCATGAGGCAGCTCGCTATGCTGCTAGCATAGCCTTCGGATTCTCATGCCAGCCCTTCTCACGAGCTGGAGACAAAAAGGAGGGCATGGATGACAGAGCCAAAACCCTACCTTTTGGACTATACGCAGCGCATTTGCTTCAACTTGACCTTGTCATAACTGAATGTGTTCCGGAGGCCAGCACCTCACCATACGTGCTTAAGTGCCTTCAACAATACATGCAGATGACTAATAGTGACAGGTCAGAAACGTTGATGGACTTAGCTAACGTATGGCCCTCTCGTAGGCGTCGATGGTGGTCGATTTTGCTGAAGAGTTACATGGGCAGAGTATCCATCCCACCATTTCCCAAGTTGAGCATTGAACCCACCATAGCATGCCTTTTTCCGTGTCTTCTCACTATGACTCAGCAGGAACTTGCAGAACTCAGGCTCACCCCTGAAGAGCGAATCATGTTTGAGAGGTACGGTAAGGGATTAGGTGGCCACATGATCAACTTCGCTGAGCCCCTTGCCACAGCGTTACATAGTTGGGGAAATCAATGCATTGCGTGTGCCTGTGGGTGCAGAGGACCACTCTCCACACAGAGGTTGCAGACCCAAGGTTTATTTGGAGTTTTAGCACATGTTCCAGGTCAGTCGCCAGATCAAAATGTACGCCACCTGTCAGGTCGAGAAATGGCTCTCCTCACTGGATTTCCTAAGGTCTCAGGATGGACGGATCAGCAACGATTGCTCACTGCAGGGGTTGGACAGTTAGCTTCCCCCCTCCAAGCGGTATGGGTATTTGCAGCGGTCTTCAACCATTTGATCGATCATGGGTTGCCATGGATCTCTTCAAGTTGCGAGATGAATGGTTTGGGAATCACAAAACAGTCGCCATGGATATGTTTCAAGAACATTTTGAAACCCTCCTTGAACCGACAGTAGTGCAGAACAGTGCAGGTTCCTTTCAGGATCTTACGATGAGCCAGGACGCCGAATTAGCTGATGCAATTGATTCCATTGACGTAGTAGCCCAGGAAGCTCATAAGCATAGCAGTCCACCCACGATTGAGCTTTCTACAAATGCCGTCTCGAAAGAACCATCGCAGATAGGTCATACCACTCAAGTAGATCAAAGTGTAGACTCTCCCAGCCGAGCAGACACAACGGACATTGCTCTCCCAAAAAGGTCCTCTTTGCCATCCGAGCCAGCGCAACAGAGTGACAATGAGCCCAAGCAGGTTGAACCAAAGACCCCAGACGTTTCACCCAGTTTCACGAATTCGAATGGTTCACCAATTTCCACACCGATGTGGGCGGCTTCAGGTGCTATATCAGCATTTGCTACCAATCCAATCAAGGTCGGACAATCCGTTCCAGCACAGAGGATTCAAGATATGCCCAAAGTTGCCCCACTAACATTTAAGCAGTTGTCAGCGTCTCCAAATGATTTAACGTGCACAGGGATCATGATCTATGATGCTGATAATCATACCATATCTCATCAGAAATGCACCCCTCATGCAACTTATGATCAGTGGACTCAGGCCAATTTAGCCCTGTTGAAGCATGTTGGACATTGCAGAGACTTATTTGGACAAGAAATCCAGCCGGACATGGAACTAGTAGTTCTCAAATGGATCATCATATCGCAAGCTCCTCCAGTTGGACATCACCAACTCGCAGACAGCATGCGAGCCTTGAGTTCATTGCCACGCATTGAGTCATCATTGATGCAAGGCCCTGCAGTTGCATCCGATGAGATGATGTTTTACCTTACAGCCATTGCCGCTGTGGGACTCGCTCAAGCTAAACCACCTTTCATAATTGATGGAATGACTGATTTGCAGATTGACGCCAAGATTTGGATTGAAGGCCTTGATCATGTCAACCAGCACAACATGCATCAGCTTGCCCAGCTAGCAGACCAATGGATTCAGGTTCATCCTGTTACAGAAGCAGCAGTCACAGCGATTTGGACCAATTACCATTGGGTTCCAGTCTGGATAGTGCCAAACGCATCAGAACTGATCGTTCACACTACCTTTGAGGGTATGCGCATATGGGAAATGTTGTTCCCCTGGTGGTCAAGCATTGTGAATGTTCATGATGAGCTCCCGCAGCGTTTTTCACTTGATTGTGGTTTCCGCACATTTGCATGGTTAGTAGGGCAGTGTGCACAAACCCCCCTTCAATCCCTTACGGAACCTGAGGCATGGGGTTGGCGTCATCTTTTCTGGCAGACTCTGGTCACTATCCCCAAATTGTCGCATCAATTTGTGCTTGGAGGACAAAATGAACTTGAAGTAGCAATCCAGGCCATCTTGCGAGAGCATGGTGTTTTTCCGAGCCGTTTGCCTGAGCGTACGGCATTAATACTCAGAAGTTTGCCGACTCAATCCCTCGGAGCAGTTTTTCATGCGAGCAGACCATGGCAAGCCCCCAAACAGCTTGCGTCCAGCCATAAGCCTCCGATTCGATTAGTCTTGGAAGATGAACTCCAGTCGACCATTAAGTCTCGAACGGCAGACAAGCGTTCTGTTCAGGCCAAGCCAAAAGGACAAACATCTGCACAGGTACACCACCATGTAGGACCAGAAGACATCCTGATACCACATGGAATTTTCTGCCTCAAGACAGGTGAACCAGTAGCACAGATACCCTCAACAGTTAGGCCAAAACACTCATGGAATTGTGGCATTTACCGAGAAAGAGGTTCAGCCGTATCTCCATCATGCACCTAGCTCAGCAGCAGGCATTGGTTTTCTCGTTTTGTCTCCTTATTCAGAAAGCATTGCACAGCAAGGTCAGATTGTTCGGTTCCCGGTGCAAAGCCGAACTACATCAGAACCCATGCTAGTTTCTGCAGTGCTTATTCAACGTGGATCCATTCCAGTGATGAGGAACACGCCCACCCAACCGCCTGCGGTTGAGCAAGTTGCTACCCAAACCATCAAGTGCCTACTGTATCGTGATCAGCTTCAGGACCAGTGGCAAACAGTCATGCAAGCCCCAGTCAAATATATCATTGGCATGGTTGATTTTCTTCAAGTGTGTAAGCAGGGGGATTGCTCATGCCCCAAATGGCATCCGTCGCTCCACAAGTCAGATATGCCAATTTTGGATGTATGGCAAAGAGACTTCCTCTCTGTTCATTTTCAGAAGAATCGGCCGGTTGATGCTCAGATATATGCTGTTGCCATGAGGGTCTCACCGCAGATGTCTATAAGGATCTGTTTGCTTTCTCAGGCACGGGTGGGCTCTATATCGAACCAAGGTCGGATGATGGCCGCAGTCAGGACCCTAAGTATCACACCATATGGGTTCCTCGCCAGCCACTGTCAGAAGTGAAAGCCCTGCAAGCAGTTCAGACTACACCAGTCTCCCTGATAAGGGTAGGATTCAGGTACGGCCTTAAAGTTCATGCGGATGCGGCAGAATCGGTCCATGCTCAAATTAATCCTCATGAGCCTTTCATTGCAGGGGCCAGTAAGACTACATATCGGGTCGGACCCTTTCCTTGGGGTACCACCAAGAAGGCTATCCAGAACTTGTTCCTCCAATGGAACTGGCAGGCTAGGCCCATTCATACCATTGCTAAGGCCAAAGACTCTAGTGGTCTAATGTGGCTGGTCCATGCAGCTAGTCCCCCAGCACTTGTGGTCTTCCAGTTACAGCATGGAGACGTTGTCATCCATCAAGAGACACCGATAGTGAAGGAACCGTGGAGACCACCACAGGTCCAAGCATCGTCAGGTGAGTTCAAAGAAAAGAAAGAGCCCGAATTCGATCCATGGGCAGAGGCAGCCAGGAATCTCCCACGCACTGAAAGTGTATCACAGGCACAGCTGGCAACAATTGAGGCCAACCTTGAGCACAAGTTAGCCAAGAAATTCCAAGCAGCTGATGAGATGGATGTGTCAATGGCCTCACCTCTTGAGCCTAGGGTAGCCCAGCTTGAGCAGCAGATTGCAGCCCTGCAGACTCGATCCGGAGTCAT